GCGGCCTCCCCTCTGGGGAAGTAGGGGACGGGCCAGGAAGGCGAGCTTGGGAGCTCTGGTCACCCCTGCCCGCCCCACCCGCCAGGCCCCGACTCAGAGATGCTGCCCCCCACCCTGACTGGTCGGCTGGAGGGGGTTCCTCCCACGGGGGCTGGGGGCTGCCCGGGCCAGGCCGTACTCTCTGGGGTCTCTGCCCTGATGGAGGCCCGCCCCCCTTCTGGGACCCTCTCTGTCTCCATCCCTCCCCCGCTACGTCCAGCTCCGGGCTTCTCTCCCCCGCCCGGCGCAGATGTCCTGGAGCTGGTGTGAGGCTATTTCGGGAGCTGGCGGCTCCCCTGGGTCTTTTCCCAACAGCCTTGGCCGGAGCCGAGCACCGGGAAGCAGCCGGGGTCGCCTGAGGGGTGTCGGGGGGGAGGACGCACAGCACCAACTTCCGGGGTCGGGGGCTCCTTCTCCCGCCGCCCGCCAGCCTGTGCACCGCGGCTGTGCCTTGGCAGTGTGAGACGTCTTGTGAAGAAGGTGAGGCCGAGTTCACCACCACGTGTAAGCCGACGGGCCCACGGTTCCTCCTCGCACCACAGCCGCCGTGGAGGGCACAGCTCCTCACCCCACCCCGTCGCGGTCCCTGTCCTTCCCAGCACGCACCGTGGTCTAGAACATTCTACCTGCCTGTCACGCATCGCCTGCCTCCCCCACTGCGGAGGCCTGGCTGTCCTGCTCACCCGCGCCCCAGTGGGCCGGGCAGTGGGCTGGGGCCGCAGGGTCCGGCCCCCCTCCCTCGGCGGGTGGCGGCCACACGTCACAGCACCCCCGCCAGCTCCGGCGGCCCCAGCCACTCTCCCACCTAATGGGATACCCAGCGCTTCCTTCCTACGCTCCGGCTGCGGCTGCGGCTGTTTGTAAAGCTGGCGCGGTCGGTCTGCGCCCCTGGAGCCCATCTGGGGAGCTCATCACGGCCGCTCCCGACGCTGGCCGGCGGCCCCACCGCGAGGCTTTCCCGCCAGATGGCCTTGCACACCGGCCTGCCTGTGGGTGTTGAGCATCCTCAAAGATGGCCGCCGTCTCCGTCCACTCGCTGCGGGCACTGGGTCAAGGACAGGAGGGCTTTCTCGGCCCGGGCAGGTGTGTGCCTCACTCCGCCTGGACCACCCACTCCGGCCTCCCCTCAGTCCCCCACCCCTAAGTGGCCCAGCCAGCGAGGGCCCTGGGACTCTCCTGCCCCACTCCCTACTGCCCCCTGGAGGCAGCTCCAGCACCTGCACACCAGGACCAGGCCCCCTGCCTCGCTAGATGGGGCTCCTCCTGGGGGGTGCCGGGAACCTGGGGCCACCAGGGGGCTCCGCGCGTGGCCCTGGGCCCCTCGCCCAGAGGGGAGGCATCTCTGAGCCAGGGCCAGCCTGGCCTCCGTCCCCAGCCCCGCTGCGGCAGAGCACAGTGTTCCCTTGGATGGAGAAACTGAGGCGCAGAGATGGCCACGGGGCCTTGGCAGGTGCTCCCTGCTCGGGGCTGGGGGAGGCAGGGGCAGAGGCTGCCCAGGTCTCCGTGTGGCTCAGCGGGGTCAGCTGGGGCACGGTCAGTCGGTCGCAGCCCCCTCAGAGTCCCCAGAAGCAGACTGGGTGGACCCGAGGCCTCCCGGGCCTCTACCTCAACCCGTGCCATGGCGTGGGGCAGCGTCAGGACAGGCGGCCCCTGAATGGGACAGGTGACCCTTGAACGGGACAGGAGGCCCCTGCTGAGGACAGGCGACCCCTGCTCGGGACGGGTGGCCCCTGCTCAGGAAGGAGGCCCCTGAACAGGACAGGCGGCCCCTGAATGGGACAGGTGGCCCCTGCTCAGCAGAGGTGGCCCCTGAATGGGACAGGCGGCCCCTGCTCAGCAGCGGTGGCCCCTGAATGGGACGGGCGGCCCTGCTCGGGACGGGCGGCCCTGCTTGGCCCTGGCTCAAGAAAAGCTTCCTAGCTGGAAAAGTGCCCCCAGGAAAGCCGACTTTCCAGGCAAGAGGAGACCTGGGGTGGAGGCTGCAGACACAGACGGCGGCCGGGCACTGGGTGGCTGCCTGCCCAGGAGCAATGCTGGCTGTGGGGGCTGAGGACAGAGTGCAGGGCCTGGCAGGGGAGGCCACAGAGGGGGCAGTGAGGACTGGGCCCCGTATGCTTCATGCCCCTGGACCTTAGCACGCGCTGAGTGCTCTGGGTCCTCCTGGCGCGGCCAGCCTCGAGGTCACCTCCGCGGAGACTGTGGGTTCCACCAGACAGGATATGCAGAGGAAGGGACTTGGGCAGGTGAGAGCTGAGGGGGCAGGTGGGGGCTGGGGACAGGTTTGGGGGGGACAGGTGAGACAGCGTCAAGGTGAGGGACCGTGCCGCCCCCTCCCTGGGCTCAGCCGCAATCCATCTTGGGCTTTGACAGGACCCACGGCCAAGGTCCCGCCGGAGAGTCTGGCAGCCATGGCCGGGGTCTGGGGCCACCCTGCTGCCGCTGGCACTGCTCCCAGCTTGGGGGGGTGCGGGGGGGAGCTCGGTTTCCCTGTCTATGCAGCCGCAGCCCCGCGGTGCTTCCCATCGGCACTCACCCTCTGCATGCCTGGCTCGCTGCCCGCCCGTGACCCAGAGGGCATGCTGCAGCCGGCCAGCGCGGGGGAGATGGGCCACTGCGTGCCAAGGCCACCCAGCGCCCAGCCAGGGGCAGAGCTGCCCGCAGCCGTGCCTGCCCCTGCCTGGTGGGAGCTGCCCGGGGCCTCCTCGCCGAGCGGGGGCCGCAAACTTCCGCACTGACCTCACCGTCCGGAGGAGCGGCTCCACATGGGGCTGGGGGCGGGGAGGGGGTCTCGGGGAGGGCTCAAGGCTGGGGAGGCCGGGAGCTGGGGCGCAGGCCCTGGAGTCACTGTAGTGAGGCTGGGGTGGGGGCTCAGTGCTGCTGGGGGCCGTGCACATGAGGGGCAGGCAGGGCAGTGGGCGGGGCCTGCCGGGAGCCCTGACGGGGAGTCCAATGCTGTGCTGGGGTGCGGCTCCATCACCGTGGGACCCGGAGTGCTTTCTCCCATGAGCGCCTCTGTCTATCACTCAAGTTGGCACAGCGATGGACGCAGGGCAGCCCCCGCACAACCCAGCCACCCGCTCCCCCCGGCAGCTCCCTCTCCCAGGGGCACCCACCCTCACCACCTCCCAACGCCTTCCATTCCTGCAGAGCCCTTCAGCGGCCTCTTCCTCCAGGAAGCTGACCCCAGGGAGGGGCTCTGTTTCCAGGGGACCACAGCGTCCCCGGGCCCTGCTCTGACACGGGAGGTGAAGAGCCGCCAGCACCTGCCTGAGAGCTGGGAGCCGGCACTGCAGAGCGGGGAGCAGGCCCCGTCCTGGATGCGCTGCCCCCACCCCCCACCCCACTGTGAGCGTCAACAGCCCGGGGCAAAACCACACATCCTGGTGGGGGTGCAGTGGGGAGGATGGGCTGGGGCGGCTGGCCAGGCTGGCTGGGAGCTCCAGGCGGGCGGCGACCATAGGGCGCTGGGGTGGAGCGGGGTCTCGGGCCGTGCTTCCTGCCCCTGGCCCTGTTTGCCCGGTCACTGCAAGCTTTGGTGGCTTCTAGCTCTGCCCTCTGCAGGAGAGGCCCCCAAGCCGCGGTCGGAAGGGGTGAGCTTGCAGGTCCTCGCTCGCACCAGCTGCACAGACCACATGGGCGGGACTGGGAGCCACAGAGGCCACAGCCCTGAGCCCTGGCTGCGGAGCCCCAGGGCTGGGCGCACCTGCCCAGAGTGGGCCTCCGGTACAGTGAGTCTGGGAACTGAGCCCACCCGCCCACCCCCTAACGCCCAGCCGCAGTCTCCTGAGCTCCAGGGCCTTCCACCAGTGCCCCTGCCGACCCCAAATGCAGAGACGGAGCTGGGGTGCCAGTGAGCCAGGGCCTCCTGCACCCACCCAGGGGCCAGCAGCCGGGGGCCAGCCAGCTCTGGGTGACCAGCTGGCCTGTCCTGGGCCCTGACTCCGTGCACCGGTCAGCGCCGTCCCCAGAGGGCAAGGGAAACGCAGCTGGGACTGGACAGGGAGGGGAGACAGGACTGGGCTTCAGCCCGGTGCCGGGCTGCCGTGGCCAGGGGCCTCGCTCTCTGCTCCTGTGGGGCCCAGGGTGGGCAGGCAGGAGGGGACGTGGCAGAACCACGGCCAGCGGTGCCCCACTGCGCAGGGGAGGAGAGATGTTGCTTGGCTTCTGTGTGGCCACACACAGCCCACGGGCAGGGGATGGTCAGGGCCATCCCTGGGTCCTCAGTCCTAGCTCCCCCTGCCAAAGTGACCAGGACAGACCCAGGGTCACCCCTGCCTTGGGCCTGGAGTGAGGAATGGGCAGAGGAGGCACCCCTTGGGAGGCGGTGACCCTGAGTGAGGGGCAGGCAGAGAGCAAGGCGGCCGTTCCCGGGCCCTAGCTCCTTGCACTGGGTCACGGTGACCATGGCTGCGGGGACCCCACTCACCACTCCCAGCAGCCTGGGGGCTCCACGCTCCCAGCCCGCATCCCTCTGGGGTAGCTCCATCCCTGGGGGACCCAGCTGGGCAGCCCCCACAGCTGCCCCTCACAGAGGAGATTTTCTCTGCCGGGCTCCGTGCAGTGCTGCCCCAGAGCCCCAGCCCGGCCCCCTCCCCCCACTTGAGCTGACGGGGGCCGGGGCTCCGGGCCAGGAGGGGCACGGGGGTGTGGGAAAGGAATGCGCTGACCAGCGCCCAGCCTAATCCCCACTCAGCCCCGGCCGCGCTGAGCTGGCTGGCGGGGCGGAGCTGGGGCAACAGGCGTCTGGCTTGGGGGTCCTGCAGCCCCAGGCGGTCCCAGTGGACCCCAGCAGGCCAACGAGGTAGGTGGGCAGGCCTGGATGGGCCGGCATGGGTCCCTGGAGGGGAGCATTTGGAGATGTGGGGAGGACTCCAAGGAGGGAGGGTGGTGAGAGCCATTTAGTGGGGGTGACGGACGGGGGGGGGGCGGGGGCAGGGACAGCTCAGTGGACTCGCCAAGCCCCTGGGGTGGGGCTCCCACGCCTGACCCCACCCAGCCTGCCTATATGCCCAGGCTGTGCCCCAGGCTGCTCTGTCACCCAGCAGGGGCGGAGAGCCGATGGCACTGCAGGTGGGTGAGACTGCCGGGCTGGGGGCTCCCCAAGCCACCCGTGGCCTGCCCCGCAGAGCTGGGGCACTGGCTGTGTGCTGTCATCAGACCCCCAGCCAAGGGGATGTGGGCGCACAGGGCAGGCTGTGTCCAGCTCAGAGACGGTGCCTACGGCCCGTAGGGGCTTCCTGGACAAAGGGGGAACCCCCGGGGGAGAGGGGCCTGAGCTGAGAGCCTGCGGCCCCGTCTCTGTTCAGTTTGAAGCCTTCTGCGCAGGGGGCCTGGCCCCCGGCTGGAGCCTGCTCGTCCAGGGACAGTCGGACTCTGGGGAGGACAGGTAAGGGAGCCCGGCTTCCCCGAGTGTCCCCGCCGTCCTCGGGCAGCGCCTGCCCGGCCACCCACCGCCCTCGCCCGCAGGTTTGAGGTCAACTTCCTGTGCGAGGGCGGCGACATCGCCTTCCATGTCAAACCCCGCTTCTCCAGCGCCACCGTGGTGGGCAACGCCTTCCAGGGCGGCCACTGGGGCCAGGAGGAGGTGTCCAGCGTCGTCCCACTGGCCCTGGGGCAGCCCTTCGAGGTGACGGGGCCAGGCGGGGGGGCAGGTGCCCCGTGGGCGGTCCGGGCGGGCTCCCCTGCCTCGTGTCCGTGGGCGCGGTGAGGCCAGCCCCTCTGGTGGGGAGGAGGGAGACTCCCCAGGCTGGGGGCCCCGGGGGCCGAGGCTCACTGTCCCCCCTGCAGATGGAGGTGAGCTCGGACGAGGAGCACTTCCACGTGTTCGTGCAGGAGCACAAGGTGCTGCAGTTCCCGCACCGCCAGAGGCCGCTGGCCGCCATCACCAGGGTGCGGGTGCTGAGTGACCACCGCCTGGCCCAGGTGGAGCTGGCCAGGAGGGGCCTGAGCTGGGGGTACGTGACCGGCCCAGGCCCTCTTAGCCGGGGAAGGGTCCACTGCGTGGCGGGCCCGTGGCTGCCCTGCCCTGCTCCCAGCAGGCCTCACGCTTCGGGCCACGGGAGCAGGGCCACGCCCACCCCCCACCCCTCCAGCCCTGCTCCGCCAGACTCACCCCCAGGTCTGTGGCTGGCGGGGGCGGGGCTGAGGCGCGTGCCTTCGGTGCTTACAGGGACGGGGGCTACTGAGCTGCCGGTGGTCCGGGAGGGAGCGTCCAGGGCGCCTGGAGTCCACCTGCCGGCTCCCCCTCAATAAAATCTAAGCACGCTGCAGGCTCTCGGCTGCTGGGGAGGGGTGGGGTGCGGGGCTGGGGCCAGGGCTCGCCTGACCTTTCACCTTGCCCCCAGGACACTGGGGCAGACTGTCCACTGACTCCATGGGGCTCCTGTCCGGGGCTCTGCCGCAGTCGGGGGCTGGCCCAGGCCGGGAGCTCAGCCCTGGGAGGGGTCTTCAGCCCGGGGAGGGGGGCACATCCTGCCGGTCCAAGAGGAGGCCCCAGCTTCTTCCCTTCCTTCCTGGGGGGGGCCTTCCTGCCTCCCCCGTGCACTAAGTGCGACGTGATCCTGTGCCCGTCATCTTGGGGGGGCTGCCATCTCCCCACCGTCTGTCTGCTACCGTCCGTGCGTCACCTGTCGGCTTTCCACCCGTCACCTCCCTGCAGCCCGCTGGGAACTGCAGCTTAGGGCCGGCCGGGCCAGGCGCTCAGCTCCCAGGGGAGTGATGTCAAGGACAGCACAGGTGGGACCGCACAGAGGTCACGGCCCGGCTGGGGGCTGGGCAGCTCTACCCCCTCCCCGTGTGACCCCCACTGGGTCCCCGAGCCCGTGGCGTGGGGGCCGCCGGGAGCCATAGCCCACAGGGGCCCACGGGAACGGACGGCGGGGGCCAAGTGCCGAGAGCTCCTTCTGCCCGCTAAGATGTTGCTGTGTACATGTGGGAGGCAGAGAGACGGGGAGAGAGACAGATGGACGCTGGTTCACTCCCCACAGGCCTGCAAGAGCCAGGCTGGGCCCCGGAGCCGGGGAGGCCATGGGGTGGGCGCGGGGCGGGCTGGGGCCAGGGCCTCTCCCCAGGTGAGAGGCGGCCCGGCCTGCAGCTGCACCGCTTCCTTCCTGTCTCCGCCCGCTTCCCCGTCTGTGTCCAGGGCCCGGCTGGCCAGGAGCCCCTTCCTGCCGCCCCTGCGGGAGGCCTGGCCTTTGTGTCGCCGGGAGGGGCAGGCGCGGCGGGGAAGGGTCAACCCCTGCCGTGGGCCCCGGGCTGTGGGTCTGCGAGGGTCCCCAGCTGCCCCTACAAAGTGCACCTTGCCAGGGCAGGGAAGGCTCCTAAACCGTGGGGGCCGGGCAGCACCCAGATGGAGATGGGGCCCAGGTCACTCAAGCCGGGCCAGGCCTGCAAGACGGAGCCACGCTGGCACCGGTCCACGCACGCAGTCCCTCACACGCATGTTTGCACACTGCGCACACACACACACGCACGCACACACGTCCCTCCACCCCCCGGCCTGAGCCAGCTCCCCGCCCGCTCGGACACGCCAGCTTGCAGGCCCGGGCTGCAGGGCTCGTGTGTGCTCGCGTGTCTGGAGCTGCACGCCACGCCCTCCCCCCTCCACGGCCCCTACCGCCCTCGCTGCACAGCCTGGCCAACCGGGCCCCACGCGGTGCCATTCCTCTGCCAGCTGCCTGAGCCTAGAAGACCTCCTCCCCACCGCTGACCTCCTGCCGCCCCCCCCCCACGGCCCTGCCTCACCTCGCACAGCCTTGTCCGGAGCTGGGGGCCAGGTCTTACTCCACCCCCAGCCCGGGCTGGCCCAGAGCATGTGGCACTCCGGAAATATTTGTTGAATATCCGCAGGAGGGAGCTTGAGGATGTAACCTGGAGCCTGGGGGCCCTGGAGACCCCTGGAACGAACCGGGGCCCCCGCCCTCCCCACTCGGCCTGGGAGCTCCGTGTGGATGGCCTGGGAGCCCCGTGCAGACGGCCTGGGAGCCCCGTGTGGACGGCCTGGGAGCCCGTGTGGACGGCCGGGACCCTGGGCCAGTCTCTGCCCGGCGGCCCCTGCACCTGCTGCCCCCGCACGCTCCTGCCGGCTCCCAGCCTGGCCTCGCCTGGAGTCCCCTCCGGGAGCATCCTTGGCTGTGCCTTAGCCTCCGCCACCGCAGCTTCCCTGGTTGCCCCCGTCCCCGGCAGCGACTCCATGCCTGTCCGTCCCCAGGGGATCCCCCACCTGGAGCAGGGCCCGGCGTACCCTGGCACCAACAAATATGTCCTAAGTTAACCGTCGCAGGAACCAGACTCTGCTTGAACCCTCCTAGCTATGGGCAGCCCCTACCTACTCCCTGCCGACCAGAAGCAAGCGCCCCTCTCTGAGCCCAGTGCTGACCCCTCGGGAGGAGCCCACGCACTGTCCCACACCCGCCAGAGACCCAGAGCCTGGGTGCTGGGCTTCGGCCACAGCCGCCGAGGCGGGCCTGCTCCTGGACGGTCGACCCACATCTCCCAGGGACTTGCCTGCTGCCCGTTCCCTGTGTGGTGTTGGGGTGCGGGCCCACTGCACAAGGAGGCTGTGGCCCTTGGCGGGAGGGCTCAGGCCTGCTTCCCACTGACCGGCCAGGGATGCCAGGTGCCTGGGAGGCGGAGACCGGGGGCAGGCGGGGCTGTGGGAGGCAGTGCCAGGCCAGAGGCACGGGAGGGGAGGGGGATGGGTCTGGGGCACACATAGCCAGGCAGCTCAGCTCTTCCCACCTGAGCCAGGGAGGGGCGGGCTGGGCAGGTGCAAAGCCGAAGCTCAGGTGATCTCTGGGGAAGGAATCCCTCAGTGAGCTGCCCCCAGGGTGGGCCTGTCCCCTCCCGCCCCACCAAGGCAGAGGTCATGGTCACCCCAGGGTGGGGGGCGCCCTCCGGTGCCCCCTCTTGGGGTTCCCGCCCCTTCAAGGTCTCCTCTGCCCCCTGAGGAACAGAGTCACCAGCAGAGGGCACTCTGCACACAGGCTCGCCTCCCCCAGCCCCAGGGAGGGGTCTGCGTTCCTGGGCCCAGGGGCTTTGCACCCACAATGGGAGGTGGGCAGCAGGGCCGGGGCAGAGCGACCCAAGCGTTCCCTGGCCAGATCTGCCCGGCACTGCCTGATGGCTGAGACAGCAGGTCACAGCCTCTCTGAGCCCCTCTGCAAAATGGGGCGGGGGGAGGGTACATGGTGCTGAGCCAGCATGGGAGGGTGTGGCCGGGCGCCTCCCCTGCCTCCCTCCCCACCCCTGCTGGCCCCAGGGTGTCCAGCCCTCCTGGCACAGCTGAGAGCCCCCTGCCCGCGGCCCTGGCTCCTTCGTGGGCATGTGTGCAGGGGCAGTGGAACATGCCCGGGCAGCACTGTGTCCTGGCATGACCCGGGCAAGGCCGGACGTCCACCAGGGGCAGCCCCAGAGCAGAGCAGGCGTGGGCCTGGGTGGAAACCCCACCACCCCCCCTAAGCCCCCAGAACAGCACCAGGACAGCTGCGGGCAGGCGGGTGCTGCCTGTGACCCCAGCCCAGAGCCCTCACGCAGGGAGCCAGGAGGCTTCAGACAAGCTGAGTCCATGCACAGGGGGCGGGCCAGTGCTGGGTCCTCTGCAGACGTGTGGGGTGGGGGTCAAGGAGACCCGTCGTCCACTGCCCTCTGGAGGGCCAGCAGCGGCCCCCGAGCAGGGGCCGAGGCAGGCATTTACCATTGTCGCCCTGGGATGGGCGCGTGGTGCAGTGGACAAGTCACCGCTTGCAATGCCGGCATTCCCCGTGGCAGTGCCAGCTCAAGTCCTGGCTGCTCCACTTCCCATCCAGCTCCCTGCTAATGCACCTGGGAAAGCAGCGGACGATGTCTCAAGCTTGGGCCCCTGCACCCACATGGGAGACCTGGAAGAAGCTCCAGGCTCCTGGCTGCACCTGGCCCAGCCCCAACCATTGCGGCCATGTGGGAAGTGAACCAGCAGATGGAAGACTTCTCTCTCTCTCTCTCTCCTCTCTCCTCTCTCTCTCTCTCTGGTATCACACATCACCAGGTCCCCAGCAAGTCCCCCCGGGCCCTAGGATGGACAGAACTGTGTCCACTCATTCCAGGTTCAGCCCTCCCGCCCCAGGCGGCTATGTGTGGACGTGGAGTCTGTAGGAAGCCCTAATGGTGGGCCCATCGGACCCCGGCCTCCTAAGAGATGCAGCCAGGAATCGAGCCCGCAGCCCACGCCAGAAACCCAGTCAGCCGGCACCTCCATCTTGGGCTTTCACAGCAAGAAAAAAGTCCAAGAGAGAGAGAGAGAGAGAGAGAGATCCGCTACCTGCTGGCTCACTCCCTATCACCCCCCAGATGGCTGCAATGGCCAGGGCTGGGCCAGGACGGAACCAGCAGCTTCCTCCAGGTCTCCCACATGGGTGCAGGGGCCCAAGCACCTGGTCCATCTTCTACTGCTTTTCCCAGCAGGGAGCTGAATGGGAAGTGGGGCAGCTGAGACTCGAACCAGCGCCCACATGGGATGCCGGCACCGCAGTGGGTAGCTTTACCCGCTAGGCTACAACACCAGCCCCTTACCCATTTATTTTTGTGTAGCATATTCTTTTCTTTAAGATTTTTTTTTAAATTTCAAAGTGAGAGAGAGAGGAGAGATCTTCCATCCACCCCACGCTGGCCCCAGAAATCACACAGGTCCTCTCCCAGCCCCCACGGCACCCCCACACTGTAGAGCTTTTTTTAATGCCTATTTTACAACTTCTTACAAAGGAAATCCTCAAGTCTTACAATCATTGCCTTTCCTGTGTGACCACACGGAAATTTGCCACTTCATTCTCACTTGAGTTATCAGGAGCGGGGATGTTGGCGGCAGTGGTCAAGGCGCTGGTTGAGACACCCACCCCTCACACCAGAGGACCTGGTTCGATTCCCGGCTCTGGCTCTGACACCAGCGACCCTGGGAGGCAGCAGGGACGCCACCCACGTGGGAGACCTGGATGGAGCTCGGGGGCATTTTAAGAATGAACCAGGGGATGGGAGCCTTCCCTCTCTCTGTGTGTCTCTCTACGTCTGTATGAAGTAAATAAACACAAATTTTAAAGACGAGAGAGCTGTCTCTGCCGCGCGGCACAAAGGTGATCCCGCCGCCCTCTGCCCGCTGGCGCCGGTCACAGCGCGGGCTGCACGCTCTGCGCCTTTGCCCTCAGTGAGTGACGAACACTTGCACTTCAGACGGGTGCGCTGGGAAAAGTTGTCCCCGAGGCGTGGTCCTGGGCCGGCACAGGCGCGGTCAGGGTGCT